GATTTAAATGGAAAGATTGGTTATTCAACACTGCATATATTCAAGAAGTTCAAGAAGGCGTAATTGAGAAGGTTTATGTGCTCAACCAAGAAAACTAAAGATACATACAGAAATAAGAGAACAAAAGGCAACCAAAAAAATGACCAATTTAATGTTAGTGACAAGAAATATCAATAACAACGTAGAATATTAACTTCCAGGATTTAAATGGAAAGATTGGTTATTCAACACTGCATATTCAACAGAAGAGAGTTTGAACTAAGACTGAACTGGCAAAATAAGAATTTTATGACTTTTGAGTAAAACATTACTGATTTTTATTTTTTACTATGCTTTATTTTCCCAATTTAAACTGTTTACTTTCTTTTGAGTTGTTGATAGGTTCAAAAATAAGTTTAAATATTTTTCTTGTTTGTTTCTTTAAATGGAAACATAAACTTTTCTTCCTTCCTGACCCCTCTGGAATGGGAAAAATTTGGGAATATTCTTATTTTGTGGCAGAAGGTTTATTTGCATAAGTTCAATAATGTGTGTTGCATTGACTCAGAAATTGGAAATACTTATTATTGGACAGGGCTTTGACTGGAAGGTCATCTCTGAAGATTAATCAGAAAACTGGAACTAAGGTGGATCTCAAGTAAGCTAACAGAAGCTCTTAGAAAGATGGCCTGGTATCATAAGTAGTTCTGCCTGTGCCTGGTAGAGAGGATTAGAGAAGATATATGAAAGAACCTATAACATAAAATAACCTGGACTTTTCCAGCCCAGCATTGTAATCAGTAGAGACTGCAAAAGAGCAACCACACCAGATTATTTTGAGAAAGACTTTAAAGGAAGAAAAAGAGACTGATCTTTGCTAGGAGGTGGTATATCACAGAATACTTGGGCAGGGCGTAATTGAGAAGGTTTATGAGTGACTAGTATGCTGGGCATTTGCTTTTCAACAATTTGAGTAAGTACCATGTAAAGATTTTCTCAAAAATATTTAAAACTATACTGTTTCTGTTGTAATAGAGTCACAAACAAAATTATAAGAAATATTTTGAACATAATCTTTAAAATTCAGTATTTGAAATCTCAAAAGTTGTTTATTAATTGTCAAGAACTATGGAGTATGAGTTAAAATTTTTTGATATGTAAAGTAAATGTGGAAAAATGTAGAAATAAATGTTAAAAAATGGAGAAATTGACCATGCACACTTCTGTGGGTATTAAGACAGTTTCAGGAGATACTTTAAAATAAGTCTTCGTGCCATTTAGAAAGGCCAATAGAACACTGAAAATTTCAAAAATAAAATTGTGGAGCTTCAGTACAGAGTAATGACTTGAAATCAGTTTCTGCGCTTTCTTAGCAAAAATTTACTAGGAAAAAGAAGGCTTTAATGTGAGAATTTTTTTAAATCACCCAAGAAATTCACTCATTTGCAACAAAACACTACACTATCAATAATACGATCTTTTCAAGTAGAGTGTGGTTCTTTGATTAAAGAAAGAAGAAACATTAAAGAAAATAAGCTATCTATGGGTCTTCTGCATTTTTTCCCATTCATGTTATTAAGGTCATTTTTAATGGCCTTCTGAAATGGTCTTTTCCACTGGATTTATGTATTATATTGATTGGCAGAAGGTATATAGGCTAATAACAGATATTAGATGCCAGAAATGGGGATAAATTGGTTAAAAGACACAAGTGTGCATGTGAACAAATGGTTGTGGAACTATGTACCACAGTAGAATAGTAATATCAGTTACAAAGTAATATATACTTCCAAAAAACCAATAGAACAAAATTTGGGTGCACACAACATAGCATGATGCTGAATGTTGGACATGGAGAAGGTTCTTATACCCTTGGTTTGCTTATTATACACTACATGTTGTAAAAAATACACCGTACTTCACAAAGATGGAAACAATTATATGTAAATCAGAAATTACAAAAAAGATTAAGGACAGTCAGATTAAAAAGAAACTTTTGGTATCACTAACTCTATGGTAACCACATCAATTAAAAGCAGTGTACAATTGTATCTAGTAGGCAGTCAGGTCTTGGAACCTACATTTTTATTCTAGCCATGCTGTCAACTGGCATTTTTTACTACTTGGAGGTCATAGCTTTCTCATCTGCAAAATAAACACTTTGATGAATAATACTACAACTTTCTAGTTTTCAGAAGAGCTGTAACAGTGGCCATGGCTAGAGCTCATCTTACAAGTTCTGTTCTCAGCAATTTGTTAGGGTTATCTTACTCAGAGATGTCAATTACATAGGATCATACTTCACGTTCTCTCTTGGTTCCCAAAGACGTTATAAACAGATCATAGTTCTCATATTGAATCAGTCAGAACTCAAGGACAGAACCCTCCCCAACCCCCAACCTCCAACCAAACATTTAGAGATGGTACTCAAGTTGAAAATAATTCACTATCATGTCATTAGGGGATGGTTATATCAAAGGCAATAGTTCTTATTATAGCTAAGAAAGCACTTATATCCTGTCAGCCAGTTTCTGTTATTGCTAAAGCATTCCAACATATCATCAGTTCTACCAGCACTATGTAGTTTATGGGTACCCTGAGCATAACCAAAATGGATCAATTAGGTCTTCAGTCCACAAGGCCCAAATGAATAGCCTCTATTTCCCTTCTTTATGAAGAATGCCTCTGTCCTGAGAGGAGAGCCTCTATCAAAGAAATCAACTCAAGCATTCAACAAGTAGAAAAATCAGTGGCTTCATCTTTGTCCTCCCACCCACTCATTAAAAATTTTATTATTCAAATCTCTACAAGCTTAGATCAAGAAATTTGTTTATTTCGGTTCTGATGAAAAGCCCTAACAATGTTATTAGATAACTGTGATGAATTTTAATCTGATGACAGCTTGTGACCCACAAATTACTGTTTAAAATGAAAATGAATTCAAAATGAAACTGGCAAGATAATCACAATATTAAACTTGCAATCTGCTGTGATGAAACACCTATCCAAAGCACTATATTAAATATGAAAATGGTTATTTCTACATAGTACCTTGTACCTGAAATCTGAAAAAGACAGTCCTTCAATACATAGCCTTATTAAATTCAAATTGGTTGAATAACCTTATTTTTATCTTCATTTATTTATTTCTTTGCAGATTAAGAAGTCAAAGTCAAGCTGGATTGTCTTGGCTTTGGTAATACATCCTTTGGCAGAGCTCCAAGTATAATCTAGGGCTACAGACGTCTAGGTTTCCCCTTTGAACAAAATTCTCCTATTTTCCTCATCCCAAATGTCATCCACAATAATTTGTAAGGGTTTCTCACATGCTTAGTTCTAAGTTTTTTTTTTTTAAAAAAAAACTTTTAAGCTATCATTACTCAAAATGTATTAAACATGATCTTTTAATTTTGTCTATATGTTAGTTTTGAAAAATAAATACATTGATATTTTTACTAGATTAGCTAAAATATTAGTAAGCTTGATAATAATTTAGACTTTTTTTGGTAGTAGCTATTTGTATCAGTGTTATCAATAAAGAATAAAATAAATAAATTAACCCAAAATGAATGATTGCATCCCATATCCCAAGCTTTAAAAATTACATGTGGTAATGAAAGAACTCTCTACAGCTGTTTGCAAATAATTTAATGATCAAATCATAGCTATTTTTGGCTTTTCAACCAGAACTATTAAAAACCCTACAATATAATACTATAATTATAACAATTAACATGTATACTTAATTATAGCTTTAATGTTCCTATACATCACTTGCTCAAAAGGAGTCACAATATATTAAAATAGCATTAGTTAGAATAAGAATACTTTACTTCCATTATTGCACAAATTGAAAAAAAAATTACCCTCTGCTTTTAAAAGATACCACAAGGCATTGTAATTTCACAACCATTATTTTTACTCAGTACCCTGAAATATAGTACACGCAGTAAACACTAGTTGAAGGAATGAATGGATATGTGATTCAATGAGTAACAAACTCAGGGGAAATGCTAGTCTTCGGTTGTTACAGGACTACTGCATGGACAACTACTGTCGCAGTAGGGTTTCTAATATCCCTCTGCCATGTTTTATTTTGGCTCATGTGTGTGTGTGTGTGAAATGATAGAGGATTCAATCCAGGAAGTACCTGCATTACAGAGAGGCGATAGGTGCCCAAATCAGGGTTCGTAGTAACATTACAAGAAAAATTCTCAGGTACTTCCTTAAGGTTCGCTACCATGTAAGACTTGATATTGGTACTGGCATCACATCTATTTGTATTTGGGAGCAGTCTCACTTTCGCTGTTGGCTAGACCTCATCCTATCTGTCCTAGAGACAGTTCCTATCCCAGGATGGTCAGCTTCGAAATGGTGTTTGGGTTTGGTCCCTGTCGGAGGACGCTGTCCGTGGTGCTGGACCAGAAAAGAGGCTACTATTTGAAACCCGTCCTTCCTGTTATTGGTTTAGAAAATTCGAGTGACATGAGCAGGGGCCAGAAGAACCTGCAGCAGCATGGTTAATATGAGCCTTGTATTTCGATTTTGGGGGCGGAGATATGGTCTTGGGTTACAGTCAGTGTATCCCTGTGAGCGGTCGCAAAACCAGGAGACCTTACGAATGTAGCCGCTGCAGCAGAAAAGGTTACATCCAGCAGGACGTCTTGTCCCTCTCTACAAACATTAGCAATCAAGTGCATAGCCTAGAAACAGGAGCAGCGAGAGCAGGGAGTCTAGATAGAGAGGAGGGGAATGGGGAAGCAAACCTGTATTCCTATTGCAAATGTTCACTAGTATTCGTACAAGGTAAAGAAAAAACCAAGAGCTGATTTCACAACAGTTCAAGTTTCCGCCTCATTCTTCCAACAGGTGCACGACTCCCTCGCCCCTTCCCTACCTGGTCGTGTCCTGCTTTGCCATTCTAAGACTGTCTTTGGGAGGCATGCCTTTCCTAGAGTCCTTAGGCATGTGCAGTTACCCATTGCATCCACAGCTCCAGCTTTACGCCTGGCAACCCTTACCTGCAGCATGAAGATTAAGAAGCAAGCACAGCACAGGGAAGCCGACAGCCCTCCACATAGTGTTTGCATTGGGAGGTGGAGAGGAAACTCCGCCACGACCCCACTTCAGGCAAAGTGCTATTAGAGAGAGTCACCCGCAAGAGTCTTCTGGTCTCCTGGGTTCTTTCGTTCACAGGTCCACGGCTAGGTTTGCAGAGCAGTCTGTGGCGCCGACAGAAACCAGCACCAGCTTCGCCTCCCTAAGAGGAGGAGAGGAAGACGAGTAGGAGGCGGCGGGTTACGGGTTCAGAAGCTAGGCGGGAGCCAAGCGCTCAAAGACTGCGAAGGCTCTGCTTTCGGGAAGCCCCGCAGCTACGGAGGGGATGTCCGGGTAGACTCCGCGCCAGCCCTATAGTCCTACAGTGCGGTCGGGTGCAGAGAGAGCAGCAGCCCAGACGCGCCGCGGCTACTGAGCATGCTCAGCGCCAGCCCTCACGCGGCACAGGAGTTTCGCATGAAAATTCCACTTCGGGTCTTAGCGGCTGCTTCGAGGGGAGCAGGCACCATTGCAGGGGACCGCTTGGGGCGCTTGGTAGGGGTGGAGAGTCCATCAAAAATCGTGGGATCCGGTAAAGAGTAGGACTAGAAGGCGAATTGGTCAGAGGAGCTAGAGAAGGGAGCTAAAGGAATTGTCAACCACGATACTCTCCCAATCCCCACTCCTCCCCAAATCTCGTTTTTTTTTTTTTTTTTTTCTGCTGGGAATTGGTGTTTGCAGATTGACCAGCTTCCCAGGACTCGCCTACTGAAATGTAGGTGTCCCCCACTGCTGAGGATTCTGGGCCGCTTGGAGAAGCATTCCCAAGGCAGCCTGTTTGGTGTAAGCAGCAACCATGTGTGCGTGGGTGCGTGTGAGTGGGTGTGGGGGGGGTGGGGGGAGGCTCATTCTTTCCTAATAGCGTCCCCCTCTTCGTTTCTCTTTCTACTATCTCCACCTCAATCTCTGTATTTCAACTTTCCCATGGACTAAGATCCTAGGTCTGCGACCATAGTGACAGAAGCAGGGCCATACTTCCGCTTTTAGACTGGTAGAACATATCCACGGATTTGATGCAAAAGAAAGCACCTTTTGGTTTTATGGAAATAATTATCTTTAGCTTGCATTTTGCTCTTTAATGTGAAAGGTAATAGGATCACTTCCCATAAATGAGATTCCCCTGGGCCAGCTCTGTGTCTCTAGGGATGCTACCAAAGTTTGTCTACTTTGGGCTTTGGGGGTGGGGTGGGGGGTGGAGGTCCTTATTAGTTTAGTCGTTACTTACTCCCAGCCTGACTTCTCTCCTTCACTGTCCAAGGACCACTGGTCCTTCTGCTTTTGTGTCTTCTGAATGCTGTTGCCACTTCCCTAATTGCCTCCACCATTCTAGAGCTTCCAAACATTTTAACTCTGGTTTCACTCTCCAAGACAGTCTCTGTCTAACTCCGATTTATAGAGGTCTTTCTCTTCCACAGCATCTGTTTAGCATTGCTTTTTATATTTTGTTCAGGTAGTTCATTAGTCTGTAGTTTGTCTTATAAGACAGAAATTTCTGTAAGAACTTCTGCATTTTCCATTGGATTAAATCAGATAAAGTTATTCTAGCCAAATAGGAGGTGCTAGTAAATGGTCCCTAAATAGAACCCCATAACTCATTCAATGTTTTCCTCCTCCATTTTCTGTGAATTGTGACAGCTAATGGGACATAAGAATATCCACTGAAACTTAGACAAGATCTTGCACAATCTGAAAACCAAGACAGTATCACTTATTTCTTTTATAATTTTATTTGGTCTCCAACTCTGAGAGACAAGGCCAGGAATTGCAGTCCAATAGGTGGGAGGAGAGAATACAATGTAGTTTTAAAACCTGGAGAGGTCTCTGTTGAAAACAGACACACATGCAGCCCACTCTTGACCTTCCCTTACGAGGGAAGCCCCATGAGCTTGTGGCCGATTCCTTTCTGGGCACTTCCATTTCATCCTTCCCAGTCTGAACTGCGACCTCTTACCCTATTCAGGATCCACTTTTCCCCAGTCTCACATACCACACATTCCACAAGAATGACTTATGAACTCTATTACTACTTATCAAGTCTATTACTTATTAAATATGTTTCCCTACCCTCTCCACCCATCATGAAACCTGATCTGTCCAATGGTAGAGACCTTTGACAACTTTATTTACCAATATATCCCAACTGCATACAACAATGAGGTGCTCAAAAAGGAACAAATGCAAACAATTTTTTATTAAGTTCAATATTGACAATTAACCGGGATCTCTGGAGTTCTTTCTTGGTAGGCCTTTTTGGAAAATATATTGATATGCTTGAAGCTTAGAGAAGTAACCCTTCTCATCTAATATCTGGTACAAGAGGTGCTCCTGGGCTGGGGTACAGGAGGGAAATAATTGTAGCCTATTTACAATGACTGTATTTTCCTTACTTTCTTCCTCCCTAAAATAACTAATTATTAAACTTCGTTCATCTCCAATAAGAAGCTTATGCTAATGAAATAGTGCTACACAATTGCCCTGAACCCCTTGCTTTCCCACAGATAATTCCCACACTTATTTGGGGAGAGATTTAAAATATTAAGTAATGCAATTGGCTATAATCTTGCCAACAAGCAACCTACTAGCTATGTATTTTGCCCAGGGCTGCTGGTAGCTAAATTATTAAACTGTGCATGAAAAATCCCTTTAGCAGAAAAAAAAAATTTCCACTCCCAATTTGAGTAAATATACTACTAGGATAGTTCAGCATGGTAAAAATAACCTCAAGTGAGATGTAATTTGAGGGACTAGACAGTCATTATTAATTTACTTGAAAATGATAAAGGAGCAAGAAAAATGTATATTCCTCAATGAGTTGGTCTAATATTATACTTGCAATGGATTCGATCCCATAACAGCGACATTGAACAGGAATAAGTGAGTTAGCCAATTAATGATAAAGTCAGTCCCTTAATTCCTGCAGAGAGATCCTGAGAGTCCATAGGTGCTGCTTTTCCTTGACTATGATCTATTCTTAGCAAGGTGATTTGTATTTTAGAGAACCTTGTTTAAAACACTGCACCAAGTTCATTCCAATTTATAGAAGCATGAAAAGTACTATGACAGAACCATGCAAATTAATACTGGCCTACAGAGCTGTTTCTTAAAGGAAATTATTTACACTTTAAAAGATAAATAAAAATTAAAAATTAGTATCATATGGACTTATCCTCCCAGCAGATGCATAGTCTTTATTTCTTATGAGTTAATGCAT